CTCCACCTCAAAATATCTCTCTATGTCCACTTATATCTGTATTATGAGTGGCATGCTTAATGTGAGGGATTGTATTTGAGTCAATGAGTCAATGCGATCAACTGGTTTTCCTTAGATAGAAAACTTTGTATCAAATTGACTGTATGATCTGGTTGAACTGTAAAGTGTCTTGAGATGAGGTGTTGTGAATTTGGCGCTATATAAATAAACTGAATTGAATTGAAATTTAATTATTATGTGTCCAATCATATCCTCTATATGTCCACCCTAACCCTCTATATGTCAATATCTCTATGTGTCCACCAAAAACCACACCTTACCCTAACCTAACCTTTTTTAAACTGGTTTTATTTTCTCCTACACTGTTTAGATTCTGAGCACTGCGGCACTTTATAATGGTAATGTTCATTTTACTGTTGGACAATGAAAGCAACAAAATTTTGTTTTATATACACCAGTGTTAATGTCATCAGCTTTTTTAAATTTAGTCTTAGTCTTATTCACAATGACAAAAATAAATTTTAGTCTTAGTCATGTTTAGTCATTGCCTTCCCAATTTAGTCTTTAGTCTTAGACTAAAATCTATTTTAGTCTTGGTCAAATTTTTGTCATTTTAGTCAATACTGTAAATAATAGAACTTCTCCACACACTGCTTCTCTTTTTCTATATTTTATTTATATAACACTATGCAGAATAGAACTTCACACACTGATTCTCATTTTAACATATATCACACAGTACACATTGAACCTTTTGTTGGCTTGTTTCATCATATCCACAAGGTCTTTATCCTCAATGGTGCTTGCAGGCAGGCCAGAGTGCCCAATCCACTTTGCTATTGAGTTCTCTAGGGCTTTCTGCTCTTTGGCGTCAGGTTTGTGGGGGTGCTCCCAACATCTCTGCAACAGACTTCCCTTCCTTCTCCAACCTCTTATTTGGCTGTGGTGTCACTGTGTCAGGAATGTAGTTGGGAGGAAGAAATTTAAAGTAACATCCAGTGTATCAGTAGAACGTCTTTCTTCAGTGACAGGGCACCCCCCCCCCGTTCCTACTACTACAGGCCTACCCGTTCCTTACCTTCTTCCATATGGCAGCCTGTTGGCACCTCAGATGTCACTCGATATTCGCTGTGTTCTTTCCTGCCATTTTGAAGCCTCAGAGTCTTTGGTGGCATCCTTCCTCCGGTGTTGTCCTTCACGTTGTAAACATAATGGCTCCATGCATCCAGGCGTTGTTTTCGCCCAGCTCCTCCAACAAACACACCAGTATCCGAGCCCCACGCAATTACTGCGAAGTTGAGCTAGGCGTATAAGCCCTCTGCTACTACTGACTAAGTGGAGCTAGGCACTGTGGGACAGGCGCCATGTAGGGACAAACAGGGCAGCAACGCATATTCTTCTATGAAGTTTTGGAAACACTTATATTAACAATTACAAATTACAAATTTATTATAAACAATTACATTTTTTAATGTCCATTCATCCATGGCTCGTAAATTTTGTCTGGTCTTAGTCTTGTTGACAACAATCATTTTTTATTTTTTTTATATTTCTATTTTTTGGAAACAATATTTGTGCGTCATCGTCTCGTCATCGTCACGGGAAAAAGTGGCGTTGACGAAATGTTTTCGTCATTGTCCTGGTTAGCGAAATTAACACTCGTATACATTCTGTGTGTGCAAAATGATTATAAAGTTTGTCTAAGTCTCTATACTGTAGCATAAATACCAGCTTCCACCTGCCCACTCACCATTCTTTAATAAGACTAGGCTAAGATGCAGAGTGGCAAATTTCAACTGGAATAGCCTAGAACGTCAATGCAACAGGTTGGTACCTGACATCTGCATTTATGATTGATGCTACTGGGATCAACAGTTGAACACTCCTACTTTGACTGTTGGTAGGAGTAAATTATTATGGTCAGAGGTATGAAAATCAGCAGGGGCAATGATTGCCCCTTCTGATGCTGTCATAAATGGGACAGATGGACCCAGTTTTTAAGGCGAGTCAGAAAATGGAAATTTTCAAAACATTTAATGACAGGACTGATAACCCAGAACAGAACAGATATGCAGGCTGCTGAGGACAAGTGGACCGCAGTAGCTGCAGGAGGGGGGCAGGGTACCGCCCAATCACTGATACTCTGGAGGGAGAAACACAGCTAAGTGACCATGATCATCTGACTGGAGATGTGTCAATGTCAATGTCAAATTTATTTATATAGCACTTTAAAAACAGGTATAAACTGCACCAAAGTGCTGTACAGGACAAACAATAGTACTAATTAATAAAAACAGATTATCAAGACACTTCAAGTAAATGCCAAAGAATAAAAATGAGTTTTAAGAAGCAATTTAAAATGATCCAGGCTGTGGAGATAGTTATCAGAGTAAGTCACTTACCTGGTTTAACAGTTCAGTCCATCCTCTCTGAAGAAGGCAAGATCCAGCCGATGGACTGCCAAACGAGATGCAGCTCTAAGCCGTCCAAACTGTCTCGGATGTAGCAACCACAGTGAGCAGGCAGGAGGTCGATCCAGGTTAGAAAACAGTTCAGATCTGGACAGGTCCGAGATCCAGGAGACCATAGCCTGACCAGAGGTTCCGATGCAAACAGGAACAAACAGATCCAGGGTTCCAGGAATCATCAGAGAGTAAAGGCAGGTTCAGAGATCTATGAGTCCAGCAGTACAGTATGCTGCGGCAGACACGCTCAGATGGAGACAGGCAGGCTCAGTGGTTGAGGGACATAGACAAGACATGGTACTGGAATTACTGCAGAACTTTAAACTAGTCTCCACCTTGGAGCCAGGCTTACGGGAATTAAAACTAACCCACGCTCCCCCTACACGCAGAGCCAAAACCCTGAGGGCTCAGCAGAGTCAGCTGGGACACGATCAGGAGACAAACACCAAACCCTCTTGATCCACTGGCCTCCAAGAGTCAGGATATGAACCAAGAACTTAATTAAAACTCAAAAACAAACTGACACAACTACATAACACAAATAAACAAAGAAAACACGAATAAACAAAGAATAATGATCTGGACCCGATAGCTGGGCTGAACCGTATATATATCAGAAGGAGCAGGTGAATAAGATAAGTGATAATTAGAGAGCGGGGAGGGAACATCAGGCGAATGAAGTGAGTAATGAGTACCGGGGCTGGGATCACGACAGATGCCAAGATACCAGCATGAGAACTCTCTTCAGGTGCTGTCTTACAACTGTTGCAGGCTGTGTTTTTGACAGACTTTGTAATAGCGCATGATGGATCTTCGTGGACAGTCTTTTTGCAGAGTGTGTCATTTTATGTTTGCAAATGACATGCTAATCCAAACAAGAAAACCTAATTATATCATGCAAAATTTCTGGGAGTGTGAATGAAAGTGTTATTGCTACCAACTATGCTACATCTATAAGAAAAGCTTGCCATATTATCTCATGGTTGGACTATTTATTCTCTCCAGCTGATAGCATTGT